GCAAGCCGTTTGGGAATTATTACGAGAACATAATATATATTATATAATAATTGAATGCAGGCTCATCTAGATTCTCGCATGGTTCTATACAATAGTGAGCCCTTGAAACAAAAAGGAACCAATGTAATTCAATATGAACCTCCATCAGTTACAAACATTACATAAACATTTAGCGCCACCTTTTACCCTACCCGAACACTAAGCGCACCTTTGCGCGAGCTTTCCTCTATTTTTAGTCACACAGGCAGGTTAGGTGTTTTCACCGATACATAGTTAAGCGACTCTCATAAGTTCCAAATCGAGGCCACAGGTGGCACTATACGTATTGAAGGAGTATTCTGGCTATCAAGACATATTTCTGTATTCCACTGAACACAATTGTCAGATTATAGCAGCCTTGCGACAGAATTCACCTATCTTTCTACATTGCAACACCAGAAGAATCACCGTTTAACATACTTCTGTGTTCGTATTCATGTGCTTCATTTCGTCTTCACCGTCGTGCTCGTATACACCTCTTGGAGTACTGCCTAACCTATATACCTAACTAAACCAGTATTCTGCATGCAAGTCGTTATACTGCAAGTGGAGGTAAAAGTTTCGTTTCTAACGCCTTATTGGTATCTCTATACTACAACATGAGATTGCACACATCTAAACGGGCAATATGTACTTACACAGTCCTATGTAGCTACAAAGAGTAACCTGCAACCTTCCCAACAATAGCAGTTAGGCCAACATTCGGTGATATTTTTAGTTTGGCCCGACTATATATCTGAGTATCTTTGACTTGATATAGGTACGTATTTTCATAAATTACTGAACGATCGGACGAAATCGGATGGAAGGTTTCGACTGTCTTATGTAGCTTTTTCCTCATTTCACTGGAGTCTCAATTGGAAACAACCACCTCTTCAAGGACTTCAGTGAATCTATTTTCCACAATTTTTATTATACCCCCAACCGTGCGTTGACGGAGTATTGTACCTAAACAAAAACTTTTCGAATAAAACTATTATGGTATATCTCCAGAATATTCGCTACCATACAGGTTACTCCAGTTATGACCGACATACCAAAGGTGACTTTTTATATGGAATGCCTTGCTCTCTTTTAGATACCTACTCGGCATATTACTATGACATATTTGTTACCTACTTATGGGTCCTGACTGTTAGTTGTTCAGCTATTGTGTATTTTATCAAAAAAAAAAAATTGCCAAAGTCTGAAAGCCTGTATATCTGCTGTCTTGACAGGTGAAGTAGTGAACTTTGTGTCAAAATTATTTCTTGAATTGAGTGACTAATACATGTGACCAGAAACGCAAAATGTACTTCCACCTTTTACAAGCGCTTCCCTAATGGAAACATCAAGAGGCCGTGCATGAACTAGTTCTACAGTTATAGTATAATATCCTCTTATACTATAGTAGTATAGTAGTATTATTATATATTATATATATATATATTATTATTCTTTTTTTTGAGATTTGCATTTATGACCGGTATCGAACAAATTTCGAAATGTGAAGATGCACTAGTCCACCTGACAAGATAGGAGATACGTAGTCTGACAAACTTTGGTGCTTTTTTATATAAAATACCCAATAGCTCAACAACTAGGTAATAGTGAAAACACTTAAGGGCACTAAAATAATCTTCTGCTTTCAAAAGAGCCTTCTGGATAGGCAACTAGGTAAGGTATCCCGTTAAAAAACAATTTTGGCATGTGGGTCACAATTAGGAGACCTTGTATAACTGAGAATATCTTAGGAGTGCGCTTCCAGACACCATATGTAATAACCTTTAAATAGTTTCCATTGAAAAGTTGCTCAGCAGCAATACACCGTCCTAGCTATCAAATTATTATAAATGGCTCGTTTCAAAAAAATTTTTTCTATTTTGTTTTGTTGAAAAAGCATTGACAAAGTACAATTACAATATAGAGATAACATGATCAGTTAAGAGCGAAACCTGGCTCCATCTTCATTATGTATCAACATTCACAATAATCATCATGTTCTAGATGGTCTCCGTGCAGACCCCGTTATGTTGGTTTGCTTTTGATAGATTGGAAGTTAAGATACTCGCCACTAGATGAAACTCCGTGCATATATCGACAGACAACTAGCAAGTCAATGCTGCAGTCTATACCATGGTCCGTACTTCAGCTACAAATACTTGGTGGAAACTTGTTGTGCAAGACAGTCTTGCATCTCTCAGGGCCAGCTTACAATATCCATTGATCCCTATCAATCAGATAACTGAGGTGTTTCAGCTTGCAGGGCAGAAAGAATGAAATTTTAAATTTTGACAGATTTTGCTCTCCTTCCAGGGCTAAGTGATTTAAAATAAATCTAATCCACATTTCGGGAAGATACAATCACATTAAGAGATTGCGCACTCAGGTTACTTTTATAAAAGAATGATCAAATACGAGATTCTCATTGTGTACAATATTTAGCGGGAAAACTATATATCACAAAATTACAATGATAACTGTTGATACCAGTCATTATGAATATGTAAAGCGTGTGTATATTGATAAATATTGTGCAAAATTTTGTTCGCTTGGGGACGAGTATAATAAAACGACAGTGACTTCCGTGTGGCAAAAGATCTTTAATGGTGGATCTCAAAATATACAACATCACGAATCAGATTCTGCAAAAAAATACCACACCCCGAAGCCAAGATCCTCGAATGACACTGATTGAGTAGGTACTTACCACTTCCTCCATGCGAGCTCTTAATCCGGTGCAACAAAGTGAAGCGGTCGTGACAAAGGAGCTAACGGCGGGATCTGCTATCTTCCAATTTCAAGATTTCCTGGAAAGTGCCACGAAAAAACAGACAACTCGACCGGTTATGACTTAAAATATAATAATATTATATAATAATATTATAGACAACAAACCATATCCAAAATGTGAACGATATGCATACAAGTTATGTAGTTACTTTTTCCTGGATGTTTTATTCTGATTCAGCGATATGTCCATACATGTTATCTTTACGATGTTTCCCTAGTTTATATCGCGCTTGTATAATAACTGTAATTATGTAGCTTGATACTGAATTGGGAGATACCAATGATCGATTAGGAGAGGAACCTCGTGATTCAAATGCTTCTCAAATACTATGCGTAGTTCGGTAAGACACCGTTTCTCTAGATATGTTACAGTACAGTTTTGTATGCAGAGAAAGCTTGTCAGATCGAGTAGTACAGAGTGGTTTCAAAATAATTCCGGTAGATGGAGGCTACGCTATTAGGAAGAACACTCAGTGAATTCTTATCTACATTCCTTAGCCCGCTTACTAGATGGAGCTTTATAGATCCTCAGAATATTATACAGTACGGTAATGCAGATCAAGCTACAAATTCTAAGGCTAGTGATACAAAGTGGTTTCGTGAAGTTTCCTCTAGATGGAGCCTACAGTTTTAGAAAGGACACACTCTTACGCGTATCGCTTGAAATCCCGAAATTCGTCGAAAACGTGTTAGATGGAGCTCGATGCAATAAGACCGCTTCGCTTCGAAACATCGTTCGAGTTTGACATCCTTAATTTTTTAATTGAATTGATGTGGAATATGCTCAATGATCTAGACTTCTAGACTACTCAGATGGATGTCGGAAGTAAAATATTTCAGCCCAATGGCTTCAAAGACGCGAAGAATGGTTTGTGGCAACAATTTATAAGTGCCGTGCTTTATTCAAAATTCACTAAGTACAATCATTACAGAGTTAAATTTCAGACAGGCGTAGTAAAGGTTTACACAAGTACTTAGTTGAACCTATTTTGCCCTCAAAGAACCTGTGGAAAGTTGTGACTTTGAGGAAAACAAAATATAGTATATTTTCAAAGAAAAATAGGCCTGGCATTTCAACCGAAAATCACTAGAAGCTGAAGATATGGTGAACTTCCGAGTAATAAGATAAGCTACCAAGAAAGGCTTTGCAATAAAGTTAGAGGAGCTTTAAATATGGACAATGGACAATGAGATGGGGTTTCACAGTCCTGCTGAAGATATTTGAAACATAATGTGCATCATGAACATACCTAAGGACAACACAAGCACAAGTGATCCTTAGATACCTACACACAAAACTTTTTTGACAGGTGGGTCAATGAGTGTGTTCAGCCTATGTACAGGATTCCAGCGATGCAGCGCTGTCATGCTGAATAGCCTTAGCCGTGTAATTGCGTTGACTTAAAGATTAAATCAATAAATTATAAAATTCGGCAGCCAAGTTTAATAATTGGCCCTTTGCAGGCAAAGGCATGGTCCTCAATGGTCCACCCACCTTGGTTATATCGTAGGTAGTTCAAATAAAATACAGAAAACAAAACCCAATTTTAATATTGTTTTATCAATATCAAAAATGTTAGAAATCCAGTCACATCATAAACGACATAATGGACACACAAGGTAGGAGTTTTTCAGTAGGTAGGAATTCCTTCGAGGACTACGTCTCAAAGTTGTACTTGCAAATCTTTACTAATATCGTATGAACTAATAGATGAAATTAATTGTCTCAAGCTACATGATGAAGGTTCTCGAGTTTTTCAACCTACTATTATGTATTTGAAGTGTTAATTTGCCTTTCGATTTCAGATTAGGATATTGATTCATGTGCATTGTACGCAAGCTGTGTATTTATAAGTAAATCAGCAGGTTACCTGGACGCACAAATACATAATAAATCAAAAATCCTGACAGGCTACTATAGTGAAACTCTTGATCACACAATACACAAATACCTTAATGTAGATACTTCATGACACTGAATACCTAATCAGCTCATCTTCAAATCGAACAGTGCCAGTGCTCATTGCTATTCCTTAATCACTGCCAACTACGGTATCCGTGTTACATATTTAAATCATGTGCATGTACATATATATCCCCTACTCGCCTGCTCATGAAAATATAAGTACACCCACCCACTCATTCACACCACACATTGTCATACAATACAAAAAATCACCACTGGTACCATGAGTAAGTCCTTCTTCTTGTTGCTGGTTCTGTTTGCCCTTGGAGACTGTGAAGAAGACTGTGGAGGTCATCTGAGCTGTTTGGAGAAAAAGTTTGTGGATTATGTGGACAAAGTGGAAGCGAGTGGTACCATCAGTAATTACGTCGTACTTGAAAAGGTTAGCGGGAGGGATGCGAAAGAGGAGAAGAGAGACGAGGGGATCGTCCAAAGGTGTGTACGGTTCTTGGCGGAGCATCAACTCAAGCTGAGGTTACCTGCAGAAGAGTCCAGGGGGTTAGAAACTGGTAAGTAGTTTTTTTAAGGAACTTGTTTATATACTCGTGAACTAAGATTTCTGATTGTTGAAAACTTCGCACCCTAGAAATGCAAGATCTGCCTGAATTTAAGGAAAGGGGAAATAAACGCGCTCAGATGTACTGTTGACATGCCTAACTTCGCCTTTCTGAAAGCAAGGGAAACGAAGCTTCTACAAAACGGCATATCCTAAAGCCTGTACTTGAGAATTGCACTGCTGCGAGTATATAATATCATGATTTCTTGGCCACAAGAACACCACAGGAAAGGATAGTTAAGAAAATATTTTGCACTTCTGAGTACCTACTCACCTTTTCTGAAAGAAATTTATATTCAGATCAGCAAAACACAATAAAATGGTAGTGATGAACCGAGGCCATTACTAGTATACAGGGTGCTTTATTTAAACATACCAAATCTCTAATATCACATATCTTCACTATTAAACCGATTTTGTTGAAATTTCGCAAATCAAAGTAACTTAGGAGAAACCAAACGCTAGTTGGTCGGCTGAAAAATTCAGTACTGGAATCGTTATTTTAACCATTTTGTATTTTATTAAAATCACACCTCATGAGCTGGATATCGATATATCTGACTATGTACAAGATGCTAATGGATAGTACTTATTAATGAACCAAGTAGATTGGTTAATCCTCTCTTGGTTTTGTAGTTATGAATTATTGTTTCTTCAAAGACCTTATTTATTTCGTTTTGTGAGATGCAAAGCTCAAAAATTCAAATATTACCAACTTGGTTGTGTTAAAATTTGACATAATTTAACTAAATGTAATTTGGGAGTTTAGAATTCCGGGGCCAGATTTCCTTTCTTTCTTTTATTGTATTTTATAAAGTGCAACACTTTGTAACTTGAACTCTGAATTCCTTATTTCGGAGAAAAAAAAACAAAGAACGATATAGGCAGAAGAAAAAAATCAATATTATGCACCTTATCTTTTCCAGTTTGCACTGTATGTGCTCAACCACTGAGTTTAGCCTTTCAGACAAATTCTAAATTTGGCTGAGCATCTAAAGTGTATGCATCTTCAGACTCGACATTTAATTGTATGATATACTTATAACACTATGAAACTAAATCCAGTGCGGTGGATTGATGTTAAACGTAACTTGAGAAAACTCTGAGTTCGGACCTTTTTTTTTACATATAATTGGCATTGGAAGTTATCCATTTGCCACAGATGTGTGTTACTTATATTTCTCTAATTATGGACAAACACACGACGTCACAACATCCATGGCGAAGGCGAGATTCGAACTTGCGGCCCGGCCGGCCGGCTGATCAGTAGCAGGACACTCTGACCAACGCGGCCAACCGAGGCCCCAGAGTTCGGACCTGTACGTTATGCTTTTCCACTCTTTGGTCATAATTTTGTACGTTTGAAGAGCCAAATTCAGTACATATAGTGGGACAAATACAGTGCATTAAATTGACTCTGCTTCTTATTTATGGCATTTATGGTGCTGGACTTAATAAGGTACAAATGTATAACAAAAAAGAATCCGGCCCTGGAATTGTGAAACAAATCAATTTTAGTTCAATTTGAAGGACTACTTTGTGAAATCAAGTTGTTCACGCTTAAATTTTTGGACTTTGCTTTGCTCACTGAAACTGACAGGAGCAAGATATTTAGATAAATCAAAATCTAACTGAAAAACAAAAAGAGATGCAATCAATATATTTCACTCATTGATAAGCAACACTGATTGACCCCCCCCCCCCCTTAATTTTTATATCCGGTAGAAGTTGTATATAAAAGTTATAGGGTCTGATGTGAAGTTTTTTATATAATATTTTTTTTGGAGACAGGATTTCTCAGGGAAAATGTTTCTAAACCGTCAACGTACAATCAGATGTGCAATTGATAAATCATCTTGTGTTCTATGGTTCATAGTTAACGGACTGAATCAACGCTTCAGGTATCAATGAAAGATGAAGTATCGTTTGCTGGAAGTAACAGAGCAGGAAATGTACACCTAGAAAGGCTTCGGGAACATACACTGATGCTAGCGATAAGCGGGTATACGCCCACATTCATAGTCGACACTTGAGGGCTGACTATCGATTGAGAGTTGATCAATCCTTGCACCTTAAACATACAATAGCGCACTCTTGAGTGACCCTCAAGTAGAGATTTGACGTTTGTATTCTACAATGACATGTAAAAGAATTTCAAAATTATGTAAATTTTCAGAATTTCCAAATTCGTTAAATTTTTGTCATCAGCTTTCGATATTTTCAAAATCTTCAGTACTTTGAAAATTTTCCATTTTTCTAAATATATATTTATGACTTGTACATTTTTAAAACTTTGAAGGTAGAGATGATATCGATTATTTAACAAATTTTAGAAACGACAGCATTTTGAAACTATTGGAAACGGTGGAAAAATTTGATGTCAACAATTTTGAAAATTCTGAAAACATTGAAGATTTGGTATTTGGAAGATGACTTACTGTTATAGCTTACTATGAAATGAAAATGTTGCAGCTCCACCCATAAGTCGTTATTGGTTGATTAAAATAGAATGGCTAACCAATCTCCCGACCAATCTTCAATCATTTCTTTCAAGGGTTTCACAAAAATGTATAATGGTTTAATAAAAAAGCTCAATGATGGAAAGTAAACTAGTTTTCATATTGAGTCGGTTTTTTGTTGGTATGTTCAATTTGAAGTCTGGTCTGGTATACAAAACAAATAAATTCTCATAATATTAAGGCCTACCTAGGAACCTCTGTATTTATAGAATAACTAAGGCTTGACAATGTCAATTATACATTTGTGAAACCAGAATTAAGAAATAGTGGCAATGATAACATGCAATTTAGTTTGGAACTCCATCTCAAATAAAGTCAGAAAAGAATAAAAGTAATTTTGGGATAAATATGATAGGAGAAACAAATTACTGTCTGACTATTTCAAGGCCTTGCTAGGAAATTCTGCTTTTTTTAATAACCAAGGTTTGGCAACGTCAACATGTGATGCATCATACATTTCTGGAATCAGAATTAAAAACTCCATTCATCTGTGCAAGAATACAGTATGGCGTTATTGAGAAAAAATAAAATTGATGCTCGAGGGCAAGAGGCGAAATGTCATATTGAAATTCTGATTATGCCATCTAGTAGAGGAGGGAAAGTGGCAATGTTAATGTGCAATTTACTTTGAAATCCCACTGCAAATAAATTCAGGAAAAAAATCTTAATACACAACTTTGCCTCCAATTGAGCGACTTTTTTTTGGCAATAGGACAAAGGTCCCATCAGCCAGGTCCAATCTATATATATATGTAAATCTCTAAGACAAACACACGACGTCACAACATCCATGGCTACGCAATGTTATAAGGCGAGATTCGAACTCGCGGCTCGGCCGATTTGAGCGACTTCGTATCTGTTACAGTTTCCTAGATCCCAATGGTGAGGGTCGAGTTTGAAACGCCCTGTATATCCAAGAAACTAAAATGAATATGATATCCTAAATAGTTTTAATGACCGTTTGTTGAGTTATAAGCTATTCGATGTGCTAAACGCTCAACTTTGATAGCCTACTACTTTCAGACACACCACTTGTATGCTCTATCAGAAGCTTCAAACTGAGGTATTAATTGACCTACCATCTTCAAATCTCCTACTACTGTTCACATTGAAATATTGCATTCAAAAAACAAGTGGGAAGTGGTGGATCTTTTTGCAAAGCACCGTATTTTTAGCTACTCAATACACCTGAACGGAATAAGCAATGTTCATTTGACACACGTCATAATTAACAGTAAATACAGTTGACCAACATAGCTGATCTGTCCAGTTACATGTTTTTAAACATCTCGCATGCGAGCAGATAACGTTCACTGAGTATGATAGAAAGCAGGCGGTGGTCTTTATAGTCGGAGCTTTAATCACGGTTTCGGGGTCGGGAAATCGGAAACCGCGCCATGTTTAAATACATGCATTCATTTTGTTTGGATTCCTCCTCGGATCACACCTGACCTAGATCTGATGTTTTATGCGGAATATCTACGTATGGATGAGATATCGAGGATCTTCTGGCCGAGCGACCGACTTAATCCGATTTAAACGAATATCTTCTTTGAATGCATAATAGGCGAACTAAATGTACCCCAGGGAAGAAGTGATCACAACTAGAACTCATAACGATACATTGCTTTCTGATCATCTAAGGATAACTGGACAAGGTAAAAAAATGATGGCGTGACCAGTGGTCCACAATTCGTTGTATGTTTTCCAACATTCTGTTTGTTGTGAGGTTGTAGTATAAAATATTTTCTAGAGGAGAGTCTATTTGTTTGTTCAAAATTATCACGAACAATTTAGCCTGGAGGATAAATATGTGCAACTAAGAACTATACCCAGTTTCTTGAGTGGCAGCAAATTTTAGATTGACTATAGGTTGAATATAATCTTCCTGTAAACTTCTCTTAATAAACAAAGCTCAATTGCCTAGTAGGTACAATAATTATTGTACTGTTTACTTGTGTTCCACTACGCTTGGTTTTACTTTATGATTTTGCTTTCTTCTAAGATTCTTTGTAGTACCCGCATGGCCACAGCTGCTCCCTTTCTATCTTGAACTTGGAATATTATTTTAGTCTGTCTCATCCTGAAATAATGGACAACTTTAATTCTTAGAGCGGAGCTGTCTTTCAGTTTAGCCAGAAGTCATAGGGGCCCTTCTTCATTTTCGATCTATGTGTCGATGGCAGCATCCACTTCTTGATTAACATTGATACTGAAGTCATCACCTGCATTCACTCATTATTTCGTGATCCATATTTTACTGACGACTCCTAACAGGGACCAAAAGTCGCCGAATACAATCGGTTGCATGGACAAAAAAAGATAAAAATTATCCTTTGCAAGAGTTTTTACAGAAAAATAAACAACATTCTATAAAGCCGGATACGCATTGGGTCATAATTTCTGCAAAGCTTTCCCTTTTTCTAAATACTAC